AGGGAACATCATAGTTACATGGAAAAAGTACCAGCTGAAAGCCCAGGATTGGCAAGTGTTAAAAGCAAAATGAGCAGCCTGGTAACACAAGAACAGAGCAGAATTGCTCTCCGCTTTCAGTGACTTTTCACATGTAAGTCTGAGCTTGACAGGGAGTAACAGCAAGATTTCAGTCCTGTTAACCGTACCTTGCAGTAAAGCTGATCTGCAAAATCTCTTTGGTAGGTGGGTCCCCTTCACGTGCCTCCAAAATGCCATTAGTAGGGGAGACAGAAAATACTTCCAGGTTGTGATGCCTTTGCTGTTCATCTGCAGTGAAGGGAGCACGTATCAAACAAAGCAATACAAGACCCTTTGTAGCACTCAAAACAATGCGCCTCCGTGCTAGCCAGCTAATAAATCATATCTTGCACTGGCAGAGGCTTTCTATGCACGTGGCCAGTTTCTGTTTTCATCCTCTAATCAAGGGGAGTGATCAATGGCCTCCATGTCAAAATAATAAGGCCCTGATCTTCTTTCCTTTGAAGCCCATCTGTTGTTAACATCATTAGGCACAGGCTCAAACCGAACTCATGAGGAGATACTGCTCCTTGTTGCCTCTTAAGATTGTATTATAAATGAGCAAAGCATGTCCACTACTTGTGAGGGTTGTGATTCAATCTTTCAGTTAAATCTGGAGTAACTGCTGAAATCAGTAGAGATACACTGATGTCAAAAAAGAAAAGAAGAAACCCACATAAGTGAGAACAGAAGCAGACCTGATATGTTTGCAGCCAACATCATCATATATTGGCTATATAATGAGTGCATGCAGTCTTACTAAATAAAAACACTGAATAGTGAAATTATATAACAAGGAAATCCAATTGCAAAACCAGAATACCTAGCAAAGCAGTCCAGTAACTTCTACAGCCACTCCTGTTACACAGGAAGACATGTTCAGTCTTGGTCTGTGCAACAAAGCAGGTCTTGAAATCAACCGTGTCACAAGAGAGCTCCAGAACTGGAACAGTGAGGTATGCAGTCACTGGGATCAGCTGCAAAACAGAGGAAGGGGAAAGGAGAAAAACACCCACCTTGTTTTTGTAGAGCTTTGATAGTATCTGCAACAGCTGGATCATTCTTCACCTCAAGCACTGAATTAAGAGTAGTTGTTCTGTGTTATTTTGTAATAGAGTGAATTCCCCATTCTACAGCTTTGAGTGAATTAAGTTTTTGCTTGTTTTACTGTTTTGGGATAGGTTTTCAAACCAGACACTGTGGTCTTAATGAAGTAAGACGGAGTGAACATTCTGATTTGTTATTACGGTTTTCTGTGGAGATGCAGACATTACAGCATCTCGTCGTCCCTTAGGACTGTATATGGCCCACTGTGAGTCATTCAATTTGTGCAGAATGCCCAACATCATTATTAAATTGACTGTATCTTAGATAGGGTGCTCAGATCTTACACAGATCAGTCCTCAGAAATACCTGGTATGAAAAAAAAATGCCTGCAGTGTACTGGAACTGCTGAAGACTTGTGGGGGTTTATAGCTTTCCATCTGGAAGAGATTGGTCTTTAAATGCGTGTGGGCTGTGACCACACCACATGCGTTAGACAGACTCAGGAGACTTTCAAGAAGCACTGGGGTACTGCAGGAGGCAATGCTTGGTGACTCAGCCGCTGGCATGTTCGCTCAGACAGTCCTGACCCCACGTCTCAGAGTCATGCTGTGATGAGGGTGCTGCCCTCTGACTGCGCCGCATCATCCAGGCCGTCACGCTGTGCAAAGAGCTGGGGTACGAACACCAGGGTGCTGACCCAAAACCGCTCTGTCCATCTGAGAGTCACCTGCAGGCTCAACAGAGAGCTATCTCCTTTTGCAAATCGTGGCCATTCACTTTAACTGGATGACACAATTTACTCTAGAGGTGGCTGTATTAAATCTTAAGGCACATTCATTCCGAGTCAGAAATGCTGATAAAACATAGCCCTTTCTCAGGGCCCAGAGATCTTGTTCTGATCTTACCTGCGTAGTGCAGTTACTATATTCAATGACCAGATTTTGATTAAACTTCAGCTTTCTCTCTCCGTTCTCAAACTGGAGCACTTGGAATCCAGGAAGCAGCTGGGTATGTGGCAAATGTTGATAGGTAAGTAACTCCAGAGTTGTGTGGAATGACACTTTCACCTGTGGGAAGAGGAATTCAGATGATCATCACATAAGAAGACACTGTGTGCAGGAAATCCAAAGTAAACATTGCTCAAAGGCCCAGGCGCACATTTTCCCGCTGGAACCCAAAGGTGTCATACCAGCAACTAAATTCCCACTGGAACAAAGCATTATAATTAAAGAAAAAACACAGCTATTTCCTGTGAATCCAGTACACAGAGATGGAGTGTAAAGGTGAACAGCTAATCTCTGAACCACAGGGGAGAAAGAGTCTCTAGCAATACAAAGGTTCTAAATTCGCAAGGTTACAAATACCATATTCCCAAAGCTGTCTTAAACATATAAGTCTTCTTTCTTTCCGCACACGCAGAATTAAGACACGTGTGTCTTGATGTCAAAATGAACACCGAAAAATGAGAAGCACACTTCAAAAATGCAACTGGTACTCATTCTTTGCACCCTAGCTAATTCTTGACTCCAGGACTTTGTTTCCTTTTGTGTCATCATGTACCCCCAAAACAAACCAAATTTTTCTGTGTTTGCACTGCCTGCATCTAATTTAAGGAAATGAGGGACTGCAGTCTTTAGAAATCTTTTAATTTGTCCAGCATATATATGGCTATTGATTTCGGTGAGCTCCAAAAACCTAACTCTGCAGGAGTTTGCAACAGGTCAGAGTTGATGAGAAAAGCACATCAGGGCCACTGCAGAAAAATATTCTGTACTAGCAATATAGCAGGCAAAATTGCAGTAATTAGCATTTGCTAATATACCACTATTTCCCCTGAAACTGGGAGATTTCTATACTGGTTATGTTCTTCTTGTGGTTCATCTGGACCACGCTAACACACCAATTACTAAACTATCTATTCTGGCACAGGATTATTATTTTTAAGCCTACCAGCATGTTTTGCTGTGGATAAAGTACAAGTTGCGGTTGCTGTTCTTTTTCCTCCTTCTTGCTGTGGGATGTTTTGGTGCTCTTTTTGAGATCTGTGCTGGTCAGGCTGAAGGGTGTAGACAGAAGGAGCCTGAAGTACAGAGGAACCTTAGTGCAATTGATGAGTTTCAAACTCTGAGTCATTACCGAATCTGTCAAAACCTGGTGGAGAAATGATTCCAAACTGGTTAGTTTTAACTCCCTTGAGAGGTTTGTTCTAGTCTGTCTGGTCATTCAGCACCACTGGAGATCTGAAGCACTTTACCCCAAAGCAACCCAGTATTTTCCACTTGTGTTTTTCAAAATTTCTTGAGTATAAAACCAAAATACAAATAATGTAATGAAGTTAAAAAGCCTTCGAATGTCAAGGGTCACAGAAACTGACCACGCCACTCTAAGTGACTCATTCTGCTATCAGACCTTTATGTCCTGAAAATAAGTACTTATTTTTCTATTTACAAACTCCTCTACAAAGAAATAGAAAGACACAAAATAGGCATTGTCTGAGCTCAGCTTTACTTATTCCTGGCTAATAAGTACTTACAGTCCTTTTGTTTTACCTATCTTGTTATGTGTAATACAGAAAATTGCAACGTGAGGCTTCTGGGGATAAAGATGCATTTTAAAAAACATGTGCATACAGCTCTGAATTCTTACAGTAGCACAGCAGTACAAACCAGCTGAATACATTGTTGCGTGAAATACTTACTCTTAACAGAGGCTGATCTGGTACGAGATCACTTGCTGTTGAGTAGAACACCATACCTCTGTCATGATCCGTGTCTACTTTTAACCTGAGTGTAAAGAATCAGAGCTGGTCAGAGCCCTGCCCTCCAGGCGGATTCATTCTGCGAGCGTGTACGTCAGTGTGATGGTACTTACAGAGCATGCCTTACGAAAGCTTGCAAGTCTATTCGTAATGGTGGAGCTTCGTAGCCATGTCTGCGATGCACTTTGTTAGGCACTGTCTTTGCAAGCTGACAACAAAATGAAAACAGAAATGATGTATAAAATGATAGCACTAAAACCTGAAAGCCTGCTTTTAGCCCGAGAGGCTGTTAGCGAAAATAGGATTCTGCTTGACAATGTATTGCCTGTTTGTAAGACATGATGGGAACATGCAAGGAACAGCACAAGCTAAGCAGTAGTTGAACTCTGAATGGCTGTGGTTAATACAGACGCAGATGTTTCTTCCTCCAGGAGTCAGGAATGTTAGGGGTGTTTTTATTAAATATTCTATTATTATTCACTCATTGTAACTTGCACCTTTGCAATGATTCATGTCAGAGAATCGCAGAGCAATTCATAAAACACTATTCAAGCCTCACATTAGCCTGTGAGCTGCACTTGCAGTTGTTGAAGAGGAAGTTTCCCAGAGGAGAGATATGCTGTCCAAATTCACACAGGAAGGTAGATGCAGAGCCAGGAACAGAACTCAGCAGTCCTGAGTCTCAGTCCCATTGTTAACTTGTTATCAATAAAACCTGATGTTGTGATAGCGTTTCAAACCCTGGGCTTTTGTCTGGGGTCTACTGCACTGAACAACGTTAAGGAGGTGACATTCCCACCCCAGAATGCTTCCAAGCTAAAGGCAAATGCAACAAATGAACAACCCTAGTTAAGGAAGGATGTAACAGGGTAGCAGGAACAGGACTGTTTATACAGACTGGCCTGCTGTGTACCTGCCTGTACATGAAATTACAGGAAGGGAAATGATTATTTTCTGGTCATCTTTAGCCTTGCTGTGATAGTCAGTTTACCTTGTCGTCTAGGTTCATGAAACCCAGCACAAACCCTTCACATTGCATTTCAGGCTCGGCCTCTGGCAGGAGGCGTGGGGTGAAGGAGATGCAAACGAAGATGCTGCCACCTCCTGGGACCACCTGCAGTGGAGAGACAACTGTTCAGTAGCGCAGGGAGCTGCCTGGGCTTGCACAAGCATCCTCAGCGCTCAGCTGCTAAAACTGAGTTGCACAAGCAGCATGAAATCTCCTGGGGATGGGCTACGCTTGGGCTTGTGCTAAAATGACAGCATGTGACAACAAAACTGACTTAATTATTTCAGCTGCAAATATCGATGTAGCCACTGTTTAGCATCAGAGTTTAATCACAGTCACAGACCAACTCCCTAAGTACACAAACATATGTACATACCTGTTAATCTGTTTTTTAAAATACCCAGTTCTGCCCACTCTTACTCCATGGCTAACTCAGATGATTCTCCCACAACTGACAGCACTCACAGATACAAGAAACATTTTTTGAAGAGTTACAAGTGTGAACTGAGAGTATTTTACAGTTCAGTTTACTCTTGGCTATTTTTTGTATTTTACATGACAGCAGGGAATGTAGTTAAATGCACTAGCCAGCTACAGTGGATTTTCTGGGATTTACAGGTTGAATAGATTCTGCTTTCTTTAGGTACATTATGCAGGTTATGGATGAATCCTGCTGTTGCTGTAGAAAAACCTTTGCCATCTCCCTACAGAGCCAATTCATGTCTAGCCGAGTTTATAAGTTCAGGGGTCGTGTGGTGTGTGCTGCTTTCAGGCTAGTGCTGTGCAGACACAAGTTCCCCCATTTCATGTGAAGACAGGGTGAGATGTGTGGTCCTGCCGGGCCTACGTTCAGTAGAAGCAAAACCGCTCAGCTCTCCTTGCACTGCGTTCCCCCTGCTCAGAGTGGTGAGGAGTGTAAGAACGATCTGCCTGAGGCATGGCAGGGCCAGAGCAGAGCTAGTAAGCCCTGTCATGTCCTGCAGTGCTGCAGGGTCTGTGCATTGTGGTCATAGAGAGCCTAGTTGTTCAGGCATGGACTTAAGCTAGGTCTGGCCAGCTGTGCCGCACAACACCTGAGCTAACAAACCTTCCTGAAGCAATAGTAGAAACACAGAGAACATTTCTGCAGAGGAATACCTGAATGACTCCATAGGCATCAACTCCATTCCACATGGGCCAAGCTCACTGCTGGCTACACCCGATAGAGGCTGTCTCCACCATGAGGCACTTGTTTATCTAAACTATCTCAGCCTCAATCACCCCAGAGCTGACTGTAGGCTTCATTTCTTTGAGATGCCATTTCTGTAATTATTTCTTTTATGTAATCTTTAACTCATTTTAATTTGTTACTGAAACCCTTTGGCAAAAAACTTGCTAATATTTAAGAATCAAAATTGACACACTGATGTTTTGGGCAACCCTGTCACTCACAGATCTTTCCAGTGCTGTGTTTGCTTTATCTTATTCCAAAGGAATCGTGACACTGTGGCCCCTATTTGCACCAGTTACTTTTGAAGTACTGTGGGTTACAACTGTTTATCCAAAAGAGTTGTCTACAGAGCACACTTTTCCCAGCAACCTGCGTTCCAGCTCTGCCGCGTGCACTTCGCAAATCTACCCTGGTTAAATAACATGCTTCCAAAGCTTCAGGCTGGGTGCCTCCTACCTAATGCCACACATTTCACCAAGGCAACCCAAGTGAGAAGACCAGAGATGCCACTTTAGAGAGCCTAGTACAACTGAACACTTAATTCCAGTCATCAGTTAACTGCTCAAACGTAGGTAGGACACTTTCTTTTTTCTGTTGACTTTGCAAACTCTTCTCATGGTCATCTTCAAGATCCCAAAGCCTCCCAGCTTACAGTTTCACTGCTTAGTAGTCTCTATCCCAAACCAAAGCTACCTCCTCCTCCTTCTCTGTCTCCTCTGTCCTGCAGAAAATATGCTAAATCTAAGCACAAAGAAAATGTAAAAGCTTACTATCTGTCTTGGAGTAATGGAGTAGGGGTTGTCTGCAGGAACTCCTTCATGAGGTCGTATAAGTACAGAGACAATTTTCGGTATTGTAGGTTCTTGAGTGACGATTTCCTTCTCTTCGCTGTCAGAGTCTGAAGACTGCAGGGACACAAGGGTGGGGAATGGTTAAAACTGTTACGCTGCAAAGGAGGAATGCAAGTGTACAGGGAACTGCTGCACTAGTCAGTAAGTATGGCCAGCTCCAGTTTCTTTCTTTCTGGCACAAAAGCTGGACATGTGGATGTGTCCTGTACATTAATTTTTTCATGCAGAGGTTTGCTCTCCTGAAACTGCTCCTGACCTCCTCAGAAAACATGCATGCTAGGGTCCTGTTCTACCAAGAGAAGCACTCAACTGTAACATCTCTGGCCCATTGCACAAGCCAGCACTCTAGGGGAATAACATTCCCTTGTTGCATCAGAAAGGTAAAATGTGTATTCAAAACAACTATGCCTTCTGAGCTGAAGCAGAGAAAATGTGATTTTAGTATCTTTTCTGTAAAGCTTTTGCCAGAGAAATATACATGTCCTGCATGATACCTTCTCCCTGTCACTCCCAGCCTTTCAAGACAGTAAATTGCCATATTATAATCAAACTTCACGTGTAATAGATGTTACCATATTCTAACAGAGTAACAGAACCAATCTAACTTTAGCACTGGGATAAACACCTCCATATCATTAGCTGCAATTTAAACTTCGCAGTTAGATTCTGCTACTCACAGCACACATTGACACCATAAAGCACCCATGAGAAAAGTAGACCCAAATTAAGAAGTTTTATTTATCATAACACTTTCATGTAAAAATGGCATTAGTTTTTCAATTTTAAAAATTATCTCATCAGCTTCTTTAACAATTTTTAAGAAAAGGAGAAGCTGAAGAGCTATTTGCTTATAGCTCATTCTAGAAACCAATAGCCATCTACTCATGTATTGCTTTTTTGACTGTGAGAGGAGCTGACATTTCTTGTAACAATCCAGGTCTTAGTTACAAGTTATATTGCGTGTTATTGTTTTCAACCTTTCATGCCAAGAAACCCATCATGTATCTCAGCAGCAGTATAAAAAACAGACTAACAGCTGACCTCATCTGTGGTTTGCCAAGCTGGATAAATGCTTCCGCAGGGAACGGCAGCTTGATCCAACTTTAACACGATCTCTGACTCTGAGGTGCTACCAACTGATGCAGTCTCATTTTCATCCGTGTCCTTAGGAGGAAAAGGGTCTCCAAAGAACATCAACAGGTCCACCAGCTTTTTATCATCTTGCTCTTGGTTGTAAATTTCCCAGTCCAGGCGGATGTCTGAATTGAAAAGGAAAAGGACAATTACTTCTGGTCATTGAGAAGACTCATAGCTTAGCTGGTACCGGAGAACCAGAATATCAAGTAACGAATTTGTGTCTAGCAACAGGATTTGCATTAAAGCACATCTTAAGCTTTCCATGTTTGCTGTAAACTAAGATGATTTAAGACCATGTGTGCTATGCTCTTATTGGCCACTCTCTAGGTCCTAAACTATACTTTTAATAATATCAAAATAAATTATGAGTATTTTGTTTGTTAAGCAAATGTCTTTGGTGGCATTCAGAAACAAAAAACAAGAGTGATTGACCTTTGCTCTGAAGAGCTTAAAATCTCACTCGAGATAGAAAGACTAAACACAGAAAAGTCAGATGATGCTACTAAGAAGCAGGTAGCACATCTGATTGTCCAGGGTTAGTGCTGTGAGACATTTACAAAAACAGGATGGAAAATCCTGAATTCTCATCATTTCAATGAGTGAAAACCCAGACACATCAGGATAGGATGTGCAGTTTCATAGTAACAACACATTGAGTCAATTAGATATATTCTACTATGCTCTGGCTTACCTGCTTTACTGTTACAGAAAGCAAACTAATATTCATGCCAGTAATGCCAAAATGATAAATACTACTATACATATAAAGACCTGACAACATGTATTATTGTTCTGTACTAGCTAAGTTGGAAAACAGCTTAGACGCTCTCTTATATACTATTATTATTTTTACAAAAACCATTTTGATTAGGAAACAAGTAGGCCTGTTAATTAACATGTTAATGGGTTCTTCTATTTTTATTATCATAAGGAGCACAATGCAAGTGTTGACATTTGCTGTACAAAAGTCATTCTTACCAAAGGGAGTGGGATTGTTGAGCCGGACCCTCCGAAAGACAGGAGACCCTCCAGAGACATGAGTGCCAAACCTGAGGGGGGAACTTCGCTGTCAGTACATGCAGAAAATGAAAGTGAATGTCTGAAATCATTAAAGATTTGTTTAAAAGTGGAAACATATCTGGCTGCACTGCCAGCCTGTTAAGAGTGACTACCAAGTAAAGCATGGCCTATACTGTGAAGTGCAATATTGCTTTATTTAATGTCTCTTTTTTCCAGTTTTCTTAGTTGTCTCAAACATTTCAGGGTAAACATGTGAAGTCAGCTTTTGTGAAACACTCTGGCGGCAGCAGCAAATGGCTACACAGCAGTGGAGTGACCTGTGTCAGACACAGATTTCCAGGTGCATAAGGGTTTTTTTTATGGTGGATAGCTAAATCCATTTTCTATGCCCTGTTACAGAGCTGACATTGCAAATGCTCTTGGCTGCAGTATGATACACAATGCTAATTCCTCTGAAGTCAGAAAGAAGCAGTCACGCTGTATGGCAGCTGGCTGAGTGTGTAGTGCCATGGTCCCCATAAACTAACCCTCACCCCTCACCCAGATGTGCAGACGCAACTTGCTGTATGAGAGGGCTTAAACCTTCCCCTGCCCCTATTTACTTTGGGGCTGCATTTCTCTGGGTCCAGGTAAAGGGACAGGGAGAAATCAACTGTGGATGATGATGAGAACTGCCACCGTGTACCAGTGTCCACAGAATCAGATGAGCCTGGACTGGGTGAACTTCTATGGTTACAAGCCCAGAACAGTGATTGCTGATAAACCTGAGAAGGCTTGTATGCAGATTCTTTTCTAATCATGCTGGCAGAGACAAATGTATTGGTGTTATAGAAGCAGATACTGTACTTTGACAGTCACTTTGCTGACCTTCTCATTATATCACAAAAAGATGGGAACAGGTGTGCATGTTGGCTATAGTCCAATGGTATTTAATTCTCTGACTTCTCTGACAGTATTTTGCATTATACCTGATTATGGGTTGCTCTGTTTGTGGTCCTGTCATCTGTAGGAAGATTGGACAGCCTTTCACAGTCATTTGCATAGGAATTAGTTTCGGCTGTAAGTCTCCCACCTATTAAAAATGAATTTTTGCTATTAGAATCAAGATAAAACTTTAGTTCTCTGGGTTACAAAATTATGTTTTGAAAACTGATTGGATTTTCAAATATTTTTGACTGGTTTCTTTTGACAGCATCTAATTCATATGCTATCGAAAGCTCTTTTCGGCAG